ACCTGAATTATACATACTGATGACAACAAGGACAGCAAGATGCTTTACCATGCATCCAGTAAGACTGTCTTTCAGCAACAGGAGCAGGTACAAAAAATGGTGCTTGTTTTCACTGTCCTGTTTTGCATTCAAGCAATACGCTGGATTAGTTCACATCTATGCATATTTTACAAACCTTTTATCCGCCTGTCAATAGCAGCCTTTTACTATTATTATTTTTAACCAAAACGGGCAAAAAGGATTACATTCACAGAATTGTAAGACTACCTCACTCTGAAAGACTAAATACTTTGACAAGTATTTAACAAAAATGCAGAGGGAAGCAGGAAACCAGCTGAGAATTACAATCAGCTGTATAACATTTGCACTTTAAGAAACACAACCTTCCTCAGAGAGGTATTAAAGCATGCAGCATAAATATTTATATTGTTCCTAGTCATAGGCAAAAAACGTGTTTGAATAAGGTTAAGAATTCACTAGAACATGCACACAATGGACAGTGTTGGCATAAGCTGAAATGAAGTAGTAATTTTTTCTGACAATTTTACGTGCCCAGGACCAAAATTCTGTTACTGTACTATTTAGGAGAACTGTTGAAATGTCCCAGCTAATATACATGTGCAACAGAGGAAGGTCTTAAGCACTTTGAGCCATGAATACCAACTTAATGTACAGTTAAAACATGAACATCCATAAAGGAGAAAATCACCGCAATTTCAGCTCAATTCAGAAGTTTGTGTGCAAAATACAATGTGCAGCTGAATTCAAAACTATATCCTAAGGAGATCGTTTCAATAAATCCTACAGAGGAGGAAAACATAGATGAAAAAGTATTTTCTGTTTAATGCTTTTGAGTTAAAGCTAATGGAGAAAGGCGTTGGCTAGGATATAGCATGTAGTAGGCAAGCAGTACTGTGTAAGGCATCACTCACTACTTTCTCAGCGATACTGGTCTCCCTGCTCAGTTTCAACCAAAAAGGCAACCTAGAGGACAGCTTGCCAATATTTAAGTAACAGCTGTACCTATGAATAAGAAGTATGGCATAAAATGCTTTAAAAAGTTGGAAAGATCCTATTTTAAGCATAACACAGATTACCCAAGTGCAGGGATTGCAACTCATTTCCTATCAGCCACTATGGTTAAGGGCTGCTTCCAGCATCAGACTGCTCAGGATCAAACCACTTAAACATTAAAGGTTACTGCTGGGAAGTGCATATGACACTGGATCAATAACTACTGTGTGTGAAATACATTCCTGCATGTGCCTTCCCTTCAGTAAACTGAACGGATTTACTCCATCAGGATGTTTAACCCATCTGAGCAAGCATGTCAGAATTTCCCAAATTAGTGCTAATGCATTTTGGATTAGCTTGTCAAACTGGGAATTCTCAGTTCTCAGCATCAAAGAGATGGCAGAATATCTGTTCATGCAGTGATTGCCTAGTTCAAATGCAAATTTGAGTCCCACGTTAATTTTCAGCGCTACTTAGCTTTAAGAATATATTAAGAAAAAAAGCTTTCAAGTTTAATATCTGGATAATGAAAGTCATAGAACTGAAATCTCATAATGTAATATGCCTTTAAAAAAGAAGAAGTTGGAAAGGTTTGTAGTCGACATTGCTGTATGTGTTCTTCATTACTTATTAAGGGATTGAAAAAAGCTGTTAGGAAATACTTGTTCTAACTTACATTATTTTTGGTTGCTACTTTTGTGCTCATAAGAAACACAGTTCAAATGGGCAACATTTTGCTCCTACCTGCCCTTCACCTGTTAGCAATTTAATATACTTTAAGGAACAAAACACACAGATAAATCCAAGTATAATTAAGGCCAGTAGAGAATCTCCTCTTATCCCAAGCAGGCAATACTGTGAAAAGTTATGCTCCATGGAGTTCAGCCTCCTTCATGCACCACCACCACCTGTTCTGACAGTAAAGGAATCTATTCCTGAAACAGTGTCACTCTATTTCTTGCTGCATCATGCTGCGGGTCCCCACAGCACTTCTGTTCTTTAAACTTACTTACCATTCTCCTCCCTCTGTATACCTTCTCTTAAGTTACAAGACCATGATGGATGAAGGGTTTGACAAGCATTGTCCGTATGACCACATACAGTCACATGGCAGTGCAATGCAAGTACTATCAGAATTTCCTCTCACTTGAGACTTAATGGCTTTCTGTCCTCTCTGCTGACACTATTCCAAGTTTACCCTCATTTAAATGAGAACCAGAAAAATCACCATCTGTTCACTTGAAATCTTTCAGCATCCACATCACTCAGAGGAAACATGGCCATAACTGAACCTTAGTTCAAGACCAAACTGGCAACTCAAAATAGACACGTGGAAAGCACCGTTTGTTCACTCACCAGCTTCTGATGATGAACTTCATATCCTGAGTCATGTCGGAACTCCGCATCCATCTTCACTTCAGAGATCTCTTCTGTTTTAACATTGGTCAACCCAGAACCTGCATTGCACCACAATGATAATTCATTAAAGTCATTGACTGAATTACATTTTGCTCACTTCCACCATTACATGAGCAGACGGCAGTCATTCACGTGGAGGAGGTGTGGTGCAGTGTGAGAGGGAACTAGGAGGAAAGTGAGGTATATTGGATGCTTCAGTCCCACTGAGGTGACACAGAATGAGCTGGTAAAATTTCTCCTCTGTTGAATGTTCCTTAATCCACTGCAGCTATGTTGGCACAAGCATCAAAGTCTTTCAGCATGAAACAATGCAAGAACTAAGCTGCAAGGGACCAATAAAAGTCTCCTGAATTGGCTCACAGGATGCAGACAGATCTGCTCTGACAGCCTCTTTAACAATGTCAAGAAAATTTGGTATTTAGGCTGAAATCTTCTTCCTCCCTAAACTCAGGCTGATGTAAGGAAAAACAACACAGAGCCACGGTGTAAGGTGGGAACCCCAGATACGACATTTTCGTGCTTCCTGTGGGTCTGTACCTTTTATGCAAGCGGGCACAAATAAGGGTTATTAAAATGTTCAAGTTTACACAGTTCTATCTTGTTTTTGTATTTTAGACTGTTCAGAATTAACATGATTCTAGTCTCCACTTCTGTCTGAGGCATGGGCATTGTCCTTGATTAGAAGCACACTGTAAAGCAAGTAAGCAAGGCTTGCAATCATTTTTAATTGTAGATAATTTTCAGTCCATTCTCCCCTTATTGGTGTAAAGGGGAGATGCTACAGCTGTCTAACTGGAAAAACCAGGATTTTCTCCTAGAAAATAGCCTGAGGAAAAGGAACCAGCCTTAAAGCAGCTAAGCAGTACATCCTGTATGTGTGTCCTGAATGAATGTTTTGTCCTGAAAAGCTGGCTCTGGCTTATAAAGAACATATGGGTATTCATGTAGCTGGTTATTTTCCTGCTCAGTACCAGCTGATTGACATTTGCATTTCTTGGAGGTACAAACATGGCAGAATCATGGTGTTTATGAGATGTTATTTCCTCACCCTATTTAATACAATAAGAACAAACTGGCTCTAATTCCTCATCTATATTTATTTTAGCATTTTAGCACCCTGCTAAGACTTCCTTCTTAGTATTTTGGGCTGACCTTAGACTCTGACGCAGAGGAAGAACCTCTTTTTAAAATTCTCAACATTACACCTGCTCTTGTGCTCCACTGTGTCTCTGGACTCTCAATAAATTCTTGAATACTTCCATGTGCCAATGAGCTCCACAGTCTGAAGTAGCACTCAAAGAAAGAATTATTGCCCTTTTATTGCCTTTGAATGTGCAATTTCTTTTTCATTAAATGTTGATTTATTTGTGTATTATGAGTCAACAAGAACAGACCTTTCCAAGAACTTCTTTGGCCTGTACAGACAATTGAATTCAAAAGTTCTGATCTTTCTTTTCACAATAAACATGCAAAGGAGAGAACAAGAATCATCTTCATGCAGTGAAGTATTTATGGTTATTTTCCTGAGCAGTCTGCCCATAAATTCTACCTTATGTCTTTTTTTTTTTCTTTTTTAAGGAATAAAGCCCTTACTTAAAGATCTCAAATTTCTTTATTAAGCATCTGATTTTTGATGCCACATTACTGTACTGACACAAGTATACTTTAACATTTATATATGAGAGCATTTCTAAATGTAAGAACCATAAAGTACATGAGGAGTTGCAGTTTGAAAACAAACCATCATGTTCTGTCAATGAAATGCAGGAGAACATGGAGGTCAAGAAAATAAAGCCCAGGTGGTACCTGAAAAGAGGTTTAACATTCTATCGTTGAAGCAGTTATGGTTTTCCAGATTAAAATAGGAATAAAATTTACTCTCCTTTGCACATTGTTTCAAAATAGCCTCTACACCTGCATCAGTGGGAAGTGAAGAAAATGAAAACGTGTTTCTGGCTGCACGCCTCTTCAACCCTTTTTGTTTTTAGGAACAAAGGGGATAGGGAAAAACTCAACAGTAGAATAGGAGTGTCTTGCACCAATTAAACAGCTGGGAGAAAGGGCTTTCCCAGGACTTGGTTCACTGCCCAGACCTGTAGTGGCTGATGAGGCGGCCAGCTCCAAGCTGCTTGCCATCGTTCATAGCCACACTTGCTGCATCTTTGACATGCTGGCAAAAGCACCACATGGAAACTTCCCCAAGGCAAGAGCCTGGGGAATTGCACAACACTCCTGCTACAACTGGCAAATTCACTGAAGCTATAAACATTGATTAGAACATATACAACATAAATCGGTGAAGAATCAAGTTGTCTTTTGTAGAGGGAAGTCCTGCCTCCCAAACCTCCTAGAGGTCACTGGAAGAGTTAGGAAGCACATGGGAAACAGTGATTTGGCTTGGATGACAAAGATTGAAAGGGAAAGTCCTATGTGAGTTTCCATAACTGATTAAAAGACAGGAAATGAAGTGTAAATACACAGCCATTTTAAACAATGGAGGAAGGTTACCAGCAGGGTGCCACACGGATCTGTGCTGTGCTGTTTGTAAAGTGATCTGGATAAGGGAGTGAATAGTGATGTGACAAAGTTTGTTGACAAGTAAGAAAAACAGAGGATAGTCAAAGTAAAATCAGCTGCAAAGAACCGCAGAAGGATATTACAAACTCTGAGTGCACAATAAAAGGGAAATTATATTCATGTTGATATAATGTAAAGTGGTGCTCGCAGGGAAACACAACCCTGATACATACACAACAATAGGCTCTAAATTATCTCTGTTCCACTCAGGACAGAGACCTTGCAGTCACTGTGGGTAATTCTCTGTGGGCAGTTGGCTCAGTAGCAGTCAAAAAGACAAAGAGAAAGACAGGCGTAATTATGAGGGAACAGAGAAAACAGAAAACATTGTTACAGTGCTGTATAAATGATGTATCCTCATTTTAAATCTGGCCATCCATTCTGACCACCCCACCTCAAACGAAAGCAGAACTAGGAAAGATAACAATGCAGGGAGACACAGACAATCACTGGTATGGAATGGTTTCGGTACATGAAGGACTAAACAAATTTTGAGTCTTCAGACTGGAACAGACAACCCAGGGGTAACACTAGAGAGACCTACATGACTGTGAATGACGAGAAAATCTACACAAATGGTCATTCATTATTTCTTCTAAGAAATTACAGGTCATTAACATGGCTATGACACAGCAGATTAAAATTTAATGAAAGTATATATATTGGCATAATGCAAAATTGGACTGTGGAACTCGTTGGCACAAATCACAAGGATGTCAGAATTCAAAGGAACACAAGCAAAAAGAAGAATGCTCCATCCACAGTTACTAAGAACAACAGTGACAATACCATTTCCAGTCCTAGAACCTATCAAATGCTGGCTGCCAAAAGCTCAAGCTCAGTGGATGTGCCAGAAGTGTAAGGCAGACATGAAGTCTGTAAGTATCCTGTATGCACCACTGCTAGAGGCAGGATAATGGACTTGGGTACTTCTGCTCTTGGGGTCTGACCACTTTTACTAAAAGCAAGCAACAATAGCTCAGACCATATGTCTTTGTTAGCTTCCGTTAAGCAGAGTCATACGCAGGAGTTACAACACCATTTCAGGGGGCTGAACAGGTCAGGAGCCTTCACATCAATGAGTGAGTGACAGAGGGTAAATTCATCAGTAGTCTCAGCTGCTGGAAAAGTGCAGGCTCAGGCTTCCCTAAAGCCACAACTCTTTGAGGGCTGAGTTGCCCCATCTAACAGCAGCAGTTGAGCTGTACTTCCAGCATGCAGTGGGTTAAACAATCTTTTGCCTTGATATCAGGCAGAAATATTTTGCTTTGGGCCAGGTGACAAAGGTCTGGTGGCCTACTTGGCCTTACCAATCCGTAAAACCTCCAGGAGATCTGAACACAAAGTAGGACCTGCTATTAGGAAGTTAATGACTAATTAAAACTTAGTTTTGGTAGCTAGCACAGGCAAAAGGTCAGAAACAGAAAAATCTTCTGTTGCACTAACAAACTTGATGGCGATTTTTTCCTTCCTCTTATCTCCCTGTGAGTTGAGGAAAACAACTTTTAGAAGTATGACTAGGGTAAACCGGCAGTCTCCTGAAAACAACTGATTACATAGTAAGAGAAGCAGGACTGTACTGGAATCTATTAAGTACCTGGTATGAGACAAAAATATGTATCTGGGACTATAAATGCCTTTCCACCATGTTACTTTACAGAATTTAGACTTTCTATTTAACAGGCTTCTCTCTATTTCCAATTAATTCACTTTCTTGTCCTGGTGACTACATCTTTAGAGCTACATGGTAAAATCAAAGAGTTATTTTTCAGAGGTAGTTACTGAAGAAGGAACCCTCATCAGAGGTGTGTGAATCAGGTTAAGATTCAAACAGGTAAGGGCTACTACCTATACCACTCTACTCTTGTGCTGAAGACAAGCATACAAAGAAAAGTTAACTATAAGAACTTTAATTCTGACACAAAATAATGTTTTTCCACTAGCAAGTCTAAAGTACCCAAACACAAAAGCCAACCTAAGGCAGGAAAACCGAGAGCAACAGCCTCACAAATAATGATAATTATTAGTGCTTTTCCTCATGAATTACATATTATCTTTAGGGAACTGTGCTCCTAAGTACTTCAATTTAAAAATGCTACAATTCAGGTGGCAGAAATATTAACTTGCAACTCCTTAGAAAAATTGACAAAACTATTTAGCCATCAAAAACACAGGCTTAAAAGCATCTAGTAAAATCCAGCCAAATAAGCTATGATGGCACATAATTCTATTGCTGCCAATTAGCAATGTTAACTGCTTTTATACATACATGTGTACACATGCGCATGTGTGTGCACACACACACATTTCCAAACATCAAAGAGAGCAGCACATGGAAACCTTGTTGCTCCTTACCCTTAAAGGAAAAATAAATCGAAAAAAAAAACCCCATGGAGTTAAAACCTACTCATATAAAATAAAAAAAAAAGTAAGTAGCTACTTTAGTGAACACCTTATTCGTACACAGAGAGCTTTTGTGTTTGTGTAACATAAATTTAGGCTTTAAGAAGAATAAGGGTATAGAATAAATTCCAGCAAGGATGCAATTAGGTGTTCATTATCTACTACACTACTTGCTAACACTAGCAGTTAAGTAACAGCCTAGCTTTTGTTTTGCAAGGATTTGAAACAGTATTTAGCTGTGCCTATGGTTTTCCAGTTACTTTTAGAGTTAAAAATTAAACCTCCAAGTAAAGCACAGCTGAAACTACCAGACCTGGGTGGTCTCTACATAGAGAAAATGAAAGGTAGCATGTTTAAGCAACAGATGAAATGACTGCATTCAGGAAAACATTTAACTCCATGTCCATGAACTGTCTTTGAGTTATGGCAAGAACAAGAAAAGATTTGTTGAATCAAGGCCTGTTACAAGCGTAGTAAACAGCTTTATCTGGGTAAAGCTTCATCTACAATAAAAGGGTGGATGGAAAGGAATTCAGTGTTTGAACAATTACCTGGGTAGATACCTGCATGTTCTTCCAACTATTATTTCCATATGACTCTATGACTTTGTACAGGCCATTTCACTTTGAAATGAAAGAAGAATGAAGGTTATATACTCAGTTTTGCAAGGACAACCCAAATATCCTTGAGGACTAAGTACCTGTAAGACTGCATGGAACTAAAACTTCCTGGTCTTTTCTAGAAGTCCGTGAGTGGTGGTTTGCTTTAGCTTTGTGGATGACTACAGGGCTCTCAAATTGGAGAAAGCAGAACATAAGTGCAAAAAAGAATGCTACCTTTTTTTAAAAAAAGAATCTCACTGGACCTTAGTATGAGATATCCTTTCTAAGAATACCAGAGATTATTTTAAATGTGTGTAAAAATGAATAATCCAAATAAGTAAAATTTGGTAATCTTTCTGGTATGTCAATGCAGATGCTGTGCATATGCAGATAATTGCATTCACAGTTAATAACTATCTGATTTATAAAACAAAACAATCTAACAGAAAAAATCCATTAATGATTTTTACTTGGTAGCTGCAGACAACTGGTTTAAGTTAACCGTATCGAACTAATATCACTAAGAGAGGAAAAAACCCCTGGCCATTTCTGTCAAGAAAATCATAAATAATTCACTAAGCTGCTATATGCCTTCACCTCATACAGATTGCAGCAGATGTGCTAATGATTCTGCAGAACAGCTATCGGGCTCAGAGCCTCTGCAACCACATATGAAAAAAACACCCTCAGCTTTCTATATAATACAATAAAGACGGACATATAATGATTTATCAGCAGAAGGGCAAGAGACACAGAAGCAGCTTTATGTGCAATGTCTCCTCAAAACTGTTGACTGACTGCAAAAACAACCGACGAGTTGGGAGAATGTAAACCAACCCCCAAACTATACTACATGGAAGAAAGTAACACAGTTAATATAATAAAATCCTTGCATTGTGAATAGTGGTCATCCTGAGAGTGATACCATTACAGCTGCTAGTGGAATAATTACAGTTGCAACTGTGCAGCAGATGATAACATGATCAACCCTGAACAAAGCACTGGTTGTTTGCTTTATCACCTTGAATTTCATAAAATATGCTGATGCTAAGCAGCCTCCATTCTGATGCAGGTTCTCTAATCTTCACTCAGTTTCCAGAGATCAGACCTGAGGAATTAACATGAGTAAAAAGGATCTTGCTTATGAGTATTAAAAGATACTTTTGTATGTATCTTTATGTGTGTATATACATAAATATATGTATAAACTAATCTCTATATATACACACAAAGAGAGGAAAGTTAATATTAAACCTAGAATTCGGCTGCAAGAAATTAAATGTTTGTCCTGAAAAAGCAACCTCTGGGGCACAGGCGATAAGAAAACACTACTGAAAAAAGCTGTTAGAGTTAGGCTATCAAGGAAAGAGGTACTTCTATTTGAAGCTATTCCTGTGGAAGTTCTCAGGCTGGACTGAAGCTTTCTAATGTCTCCCTGTACACAGCAGTTTTTAAAGAGCAAGAAACATTATAAAGCTCTTATTTTGTGCTATATTAAAAACCAGCTCAGTGATGACTACTTAGTACATCTATTTTCCTTGCCTTTGACCTTTTTCAGGAAAGAGACAAGAAAGGGATTTAAGCATAATTCTTATTTTTGTTCCCCTATTTGTGTATTAAAAAGTAGAAGGACAGTATGTTGAAGCACTAGCCTCCTTTTTAAACAGCGGTGTGAATCATACAGCTGTTGTGTCTATACTAGGAAATGGAGGTCCCTCTGACAGTACTCTCCTCCTGGGACTGATGTAGATCAGATTCACGTTCAATCTCTGACTGCTGACAGCCAAGGTGGAGTGCAACAGAGGTAGGGGTTGGGACAACTGGCTTAGATTTTACTAAATCCTTTACACTTGGCCTTTTCCTATAAGCTTTTCTGCTTAGATTTTACTTCTTCTGGCTTAGATGTTACTAAATCCTTTACACCTGGCCCTTTCCTATAAGCTTTTCTGCTCTATGGATTGCACAACTCTACTTTTCCTGACTTTACTCACAGACTTGATTTTCTGAAGGAGAACCATGTGGTGAAATAAGAAGACCCTAGTTATCACAAACACTACTAAGAACTGAGTATTTGCTCTTCTTTTCCGTACTGTGACCAAATTATCTCTCCTGTGGGAAATGCACAAAGGTCATCTGAAAGATTTTGATCTATTAGTAAGAAAAATGTACTAATCATTGTAAGAATGTTGTATGGGTGAAAAGTGGTAAAATGAAAATGGTAAAGATTAAAAAGGGTGCTTGTTTCTATGTTTGCCATAGTCCTTTCAGAACTGACTTTCTTCAAGGGCTCCGAAAACCTACAGGATATTCACTTGTTCTTATTTCCAGGCTTGGGCTGTTGCAGGTTGACATGACACCTGTTTTTTCACCCCAAAGAACCAGGTCACCAGCCTGTTCACTTGAGCAAATCAATTAGAAGCGCAAACTGGAAAGTCAGGACTACAAAAAGGGCAAACCTTTTGGAAAAACAAGAATCTAGGCAATTAAAACAGAAAGTTACAAGCAGCTGCATGCATTAATCTGCTTCCAGGTCCCTCGTTAATGCTTTTTCATTGTAAAATAATATGCTCATTTTCCTTTCTTCTTTTTTTTTTTTTCAAAATTAGCCTCAAACCATAAGAAAAGATACAGTGACTGCAAAACCCTCAGTATCTCTTCTCCCTTTTTAACCTGTAACATAGAAGTTTTATCTATAATTAGCAAGTAAAACGAGTTTAAAGCACACAGTTTTAAACTGTCAGAATCCTTTTTGTATTTCACAGTTTAATTGAGACCTCACTTGCAGTACTGCATCCAGCCCTGGGGACCCCAACACAAGGAGGACATGGACCTGCTGGAATGAGTCCAGAGGAGGAGGCCACAAAGACACTCCAAGGAGCACCTCTCCTATGAAGACAGGCTGAGAGAGTTGGGCTGATTCAGCCTGGAGAAGAGAAGGCTCCAGGGAGACAAAATTAGGTGGACATTTATTGCCAGTATTTGTATCAGTAAGGACAAATTTGTAGAAGTCTGGACATGGTGACTAAAGGCATAGGAACTTAAGGTCTACCAACATTGAAGAGAAAATGTTTTGCTTATTGTTACATTTAGCACTATTGTAAAGAGGCAAAATCCTCATTTCACAAGCCCATGTAATACACTTTATGCTGTGAAATTCGGAATGCAGGCACAGCAGTGAGAGATTCCAGTCTCTCAGGGAAGCAAGCATTATCTCTCTGCAGAGGAATGTAGCATGCATCCTTGCCAGGCTGGAGGGGTTCAACTCTGTGCCAAAAGCAGAGAATGGGCCTTCACAGCACCTAAAATCTGTGCTAAAAGTGATAAAGGCAGCACAGGCCCCTGGACAGTACTGCTTTTGCACTTGAGCAGAGAATTGAGGAAACAACCCATGTGGTTTTCATAGTGCAAAAGTTACTGTACCTGCTGGAAATTTCAAGCCATAATGGTCACATGCTAAAATATTTTTTACCTCTCCATATGTATTATTCAGAAAGATCACTCATGACCTATGCTAGCCATACTTTCAGTATTATTTATATTACCCCAAACAACAAAGCACCCTGACAGAGCGGACTAGAACACACAATTTCACTCTGAAACTAGAGGGTGGCAGTGTGAGAAAGCCTGTTCTCTAGAGAATGGACACCAAAGGCTTCTGGCATGTGTATGTATGTGTGAGGGAATAGAAGGGAGGAAGGAATAATCTTTAGCAATAAATAAGGGCCTCATAACAGGAGATTTTTCAAGACTGAAAATTTAAAAGTTAACAGTCTCAAACTTCAATATTACAAGAAAATTCCTAGATTGAACTAATATTACAAAATTCAGATTAAACACACTCGGTTTCATTTGTGATGATATTTTCACTGCTCTTGGGGAAGAAATCTAATCCAGAAGGCAGAGATGTTCCCTGATGCCATGATTTTTGGCACCGCTGGAGAGCTAACTCCATACCTGTTTCCAGGCTCTCTTCGTGGAATGAACTAAGACTCTGAACACAAGATGTCAGACTCCTAAAACAGTGCTAGGAACACATCACCTGGCAAACCTTGATACGGGTGAGCTTTCAGAAAGGCATAAACACATTGGGAGGGTGCTGTCCATACACTATCTAACGGACATTTGTGGAGGGGAAGATGAAGGGAAAAAGAAGAAAGATTGATCAGTTTGATCTGATCTGAAGAAAAAAACATAACGATGCTGTGACACTAAAATAATTCTGACCCTAAAATACACCAATCTCATCTCACTATGTGCTATGTGCTGGAGAGCTCTTCTGAAATGAAAGGCTGCTTGCTTTCAATGGAATCTGCCATTTCAAGATAATCCTAAACAAATGCAAGAGGAAAATCAACCTAAAAAGCAAAAGAAGTTAGCATGAAAAGCACTCTTTTACTTTGAAAATCGGATTTGTCCCATTTACTTTCTCCAAACATTTGCAGCCTTACGCACCAAACTAGTCATCTGTTATTACTCTGAAATCAAGAGGAAGATACAGGTATGACAGAGGGCAAATAATCACCCTTCTCCATCTTACAATGGAATGAATAGGTGTACAGAGGTGTCCTTAGAGAATCCAGAGGGAGCATATATGTATCAATTTTTAGATACCTGGCGTTAGCCAAGAAAAATATCACAGTAAAAAACATCAATGCCCCCTGCATGAAGATATACATGAGTTCTTTATTAGCCCCAACTTCAAGAAACTGTATGTTCTACACAGAGGATTCAACATTTCTATCACACATTCCCAAATTAAAAGTACTCTCTGCACTAGGGGGTGCCACGTCTACCACCTTCTGCACCTGCCAATGCATTATTGCTAGAAGGGATGACAACTTGATAAGAGTATCAGTTCTGAGTCTCTGGGTCCCACTCCCTCTGCAAGTACACATCTAGAACATGCCTGGTACAGACAGCACTCACACAGGTTCACAGAGTTTGTGTGGGAATGCTTCCCTGGTTCAGGCACAGCATTACATTTTAAGAGAGGGTTATACAAAAGTAAAGGTAATCATTTCAGCACAAGCAGACCACATGCATGCGGGAAAAACACAGGTTAGGTAAAAGCCATGCAAGTTATATACCTGGTCGTGTGGTGAGTCCTCTGTCTGCGGCTGGGCGGGCATCAACTGGCTCAACTGGGCATGTGCAGAAAAGAAACAGAAAAGCAAACAAAAAATAAACAAAATCCCCCAAAATGATAAAGTCAACTGCTCTTCTACTGGGACAGTGCAGGAGACACTTACTGCATAGACAAAGTTACCAAAGCAACAGCTTCAGTTAATCCTGGAAATAAAAGGAAGGGATGGACATGATTTCTAAAGGAAATCACAGCTGATGTGTCAATTTTACCAAAGTTACCAAAGCAACAGCTTCAGTTAATTCTGGAAATAAAAGGAAGGGATGGACATGATTTCGAAAGGAAATCACAGCTGATGTGTCAATTTTACATTATATCCTGGTTACTGCTTAAAGTGAAAAAACATCCAAGATAAAAATTTCTGTCTGCAGAGGGAAGCTATATTCATAATGTGCAAACTTTTTCCAATTGATGATCAGATCTGGCAGCAAGAATGCACACAATGAGCTCTTGCGACTACTCTTGATCAATGCTGACTTATAAACCCACTGAACGCCAACTCCTTTTGCCTTTCAACAGGGATTCTTACAGCACTAGCCATAAGGTCTGAAAAAAGTAAAGTGGATTTTGAAAGTACGATCAATACTTCATTGCAATGTGCTCAGATTTGCAGACAGCATATTTGTCTTCCAATTTTTTACAGGGAAGCAAAAGGAAAACACCATTTTCTTCCCAATTGTGTGCCATACATAGTTTTACAAAACTCTTGTATTCCTGTACTAAGGCTTTATCAGCTGAAACTTAAGGTTGATGGAACCCACTGGCATTAACAGAAAAACAGGATTTGCAAAACTTAGGAGTTGTTTAAGTCATTACCTACTATCTCAGTTAAGTTCAAACATACTAGAGAAGTTAATTAAAACATTCAGATTTTCCCCCTCTTTTTTTGTTGTTTCTCTCTTTTGCTCCAATACTGTTGCCTTCTTCATCTACCCAAATGCTGCTGTCAGAAAGAAACTAAAATTCAGAAATAAAATATTATGTTTTACCTTAGAATTCAGAATTTTAAGAATAAGGTATTCTCATTCATTTGAATTCTTGAATTCGAGTATGAACCTTCTAATCAGCAGTAAGGAGCCACAATAACACAGGAAACCTGACAAACCACAGTTTTCAATCACTAAGAACTGCTCATCGCATTTGGCATCAAGAAATCACACAAACCTGATGATACTGCTGATTTAAGTAACAGGATTGCCCATCTTCTCAGCAAGTCTGTGTCACTTGCTTAGTGCTCCTATGGGTTTGACAAATAACCTACTATGCCTATGTGGCACCCATGTCCTTTGTACATAGGACATGACTGCAATAGCTCCTCCCTCTGGGAAAAAAAAACAGTAAGCTTTATAGTGGCTGCAGACTAAAAGTGCATCCTCGTATCTGACTTGCTTCTGTTTCCAGAAGGGCAAAATTTTCATAGGGCTTGCTGGTCTGGTGCTGCAGAGACAAGCCATCAAACCACTCTTCTTCACAGCAGTTCAGAGTGACACTAGCAGACCATGTAATTGCTTTCCTTACATACTGCTGTACAAAACCCAATTTCCATCCTTAAATAAAAACTACATTTTTGAGTACTTTCCTATTTCAGTCTTTTGCTAGGTTTTCCAATATTGTCAGCAACAACCCTCAGGTAGGTCAGCTGTAAATCTTCAGTGAAAACATCTGAATGGAAGAAATAACCAAGGTCCAACATTACTCAAACTGCTCCTGAAGAACCCTCCTCTGTCGCTCTGGTGTCTGCCTCCTCCCTAGAAGGCTAAGGGGTCTTATTTCCCTCTCGCTCTGTAACCCTACATGCCCATAGCTATGGAGAACTGGGACAGCAGGTTGTGGGTAGCAATAAAAATGGGAGAAGGTGAAAGCAGAAAAGGATGGAGGAAATTTCTGTTGTACAGTAGCACGGACCTGACCTCAGCGTAATGCAGTATTTGTGGACTCTAGTGAAAGTATTAGTAATAATTCTTCTTGCCATCTATAGTTTTGGAAGCACTCTACAGAGGAAAAGGCAAACATCATTGGCACATTTCATAACTGACACAAGAACTAAATCAACCTTCTCAACGTCACAAACCAGCTGCAGGGGAAAAACTGAAGGCAAAAGATCAGAGCAAAAGGTCTTCCAAAGCAGATCGTGATTCCAGGCACCGAAGTACAGTGTGCCCCAAGCAGCACGATACAAACAAAGGCTGATTTCTGGAGAGCTGCCACCTTTTGAATTACAGCTGCATTTCAAAACCTGCTTGCTCTTGCCCCAGTACTGACGGGCAGTTAACTCTGAAAACCTTGTCTGTGGGTTTCCTCACTGCCTCCCCTGTTGGACCACAGCACCTCTCAACAGCTGATATAGAGGGGAGAAGTTTAAACCTACTACAGCTTTCATTAACAATCGAAACTGTAAGATGTGCTCTGTATTATTATGAAAACTGCATTCATTTTGATGCTCCAGAATCGTATTTCTCTTCAACACACTTCCATGTGCACAGAAATACACAGAATTAAGACTGAAAATTTTCCAAACAGCCTCGCAATTGGTACATTATCTGCTTACACTGACTATGCAGGTTTCATACGGGCTCTACAACCCACCATGTATCTAATACTAATGCATCTCAAGAGAAAGACCATCGTTGCTTCTCTTTTCAAAAGTAAAATAAAGGTGAATCAAAAAGCTCAAATTTAGTACAAACCAGCAGATGAGGAGA